ATATGATAGACATAGTAAAAGACCTCCCGCTATTTTCTTTAAACTTTTGTAACATGAAAAAAAATTACAAAATTATGAGTAATAAAATAATGATAGATAGCATGACTTAATAATAATAATAATAATAATAATAGGCCTAATAATAATAATATAAGATATTCCCAATATTAAGAGTTTGATCACCGAACATATTTAGGAATGATAATATATTTAAATGATTATTTAAATGATTTTTATTATTTTCATTTTATTTATTCTATTTATTTTTACTGCGTGTTTGTACAGTGCTGTTTTTTATTTGGCAATAAATACAGAAAATATCTTAAGAATGATTAGGTATAATAATAGAAGGCCTATTTACCTAAATAAATATTGTCTTCGTTTTTCTTATATTTTTAAACTTGAAAATTGTCATATTACGTTTCATAACATTTATTAAACAGAGGAATGATAATATATATAAAAAAAACTAATTTAAAAAATGTTTAAAAATGTTTGTTTAAAAAGTTCCAGTTTTGGCTTTGATAGTGACTTATCTAATGAATATCTACACATATTATAAAGCATCCCCTAACAAATATTAATTTAAAAGAGAGATCTGTGAGGGGTGTATGCTCAGCACGTCGCCTATATTATCGTAACACACAACAATGTTAAATGTTATAAATCCATTTATGAACCAGCAGAGGACGCTAGCTTTCCACAAGTAGGCCTTATGTGTGTGATCAGTATTGCATCATAGCCCCTCTGTCACACTGAATCACGCTGAAAATAAAACACCATATCTTCCTATGATAATCATTTTATTCTTCAACAAACATTTCTATATACAACCTTGCTTTACATCAAACATATTTACAATGATGCTTGAATACAATTGCATTTTAATTTCACCTAAAAACCTTGATGGCAAATTAGTCTTTCCTGTATTTGACACTGTTATTACTATATGAAGAATGCTCATCATCAATAATTGTTTTTTAAAGACCACCGCCTTAAGTCCACTACTGGGACAGCAGGAATGGTCGCAGTGAAGGATCAAAAGAGATTTACAAGTCACATGATCTAATCAAAGGCAAGGCTAAAAATGTTGTATGGCCAAGGAGCCGCTTCCTGTCTGTCAAAGTGAGGATTGAGGGCATATTTACATCTAAGAAAACAACTGTGATCCAAGCCCACAAGTATTGTATGCTAGCATTAGCCATAGCTGCATCCATTTTTAAGGGATAGTTGCTTGCTTTTTCTCCAGTAAGACATTAAAATGATTTTTGTAGACAAAGCCATGATGTAAAAGTTATGGTCAATTATTACTGAGAGTTTGAAAGTCAAAAAATAAATAAATTAAAATCAGCCAAAAATGCATATAGCTCTTGATAGCTAATAGGCCTACACTCACTTCTGTTTGTTCCAACTAGCTACCAATTTAAAATGAGCTGAACAACACAATATTGACTTTTTGGGGGGGACAAACAAATTGTTTTATGTTCAGTCTTAAACTTATAAAATTTCTTCATAAGTCTTCATAAGACTGTAGTTTATAATCAGCATATTTGTTTAATAAAAAAAATGCCCTTATGAATCACCTATGACCACGATTTCAGCTAAAAATCTTCTTTAAAGTTCCACTGAACAATAATAAAAAAGTGACCTGCGTATCAAATCTAGTTTTGTAACACATTTCATCATGTTTCATAGGAAGAACAGCACAAAAATCAAATAATTATTCTTATATGTGTTGAACTAGTAATTTTAGGTGCTTTATTCTCCATTACCACTAACACACCACCATTTATTTCAGAGACTGACACAGGGTCTGGTTAATCCTGGATCTCATTAACAAGACCCATGATCAGAGCAGACAAATCTGCTTTACCCGGAATGCAAAAACCCTCCTGTCAAAAGACCTGATTGGCTGAATGCTGAAAGGTCACCACATCTGATTGGCTGGATGTCCTGTAGTGCGTTTCCTATTGGTTAGAAAATATCTGGGTAGGCAATAAATGACCTTGAGGAATCTGTTGTACAAGAGTCCATGAAAAATAGTCATGCTTTTATTTTCTCTCCTCATTTGTAGGGTTTACCTGCAGGTTTCCCTCAGTATTAAATGTGTTTGAGTAACTAGAAATTGCTTAGAGCTGAACACGAAACGCAACCTGAGTATAACTGAATTAGCTGGAGGCCTGTTGAGGTAAAGAAAGCATAGATCTTTGCACAACTGAAGGCTCATTCAGAGGCTGGAGTAAAACGAGAAGGGTTGACTGCACACATTGCTCCGCTCTTTTTCTGTCGTGACACTGGGTCAAGTGGATAGTGGTGCACTGGGTCAGTACACAAGGAAAGAAGCAAAGCGGATTGAAGTTATCTCGTTAGTATCATTGCCTTGGGTAAACCGTTTAAACAAAGTGAAGGGCCCAATATACAAACAAAGCTTGTGACTTGTGGATGTTCTTCTCAGCATTGGTTTGGTTAAAGAACATGTTCAGTTTAACAGCAAGAAAAGGAAGTTTTTTTTTTTTTTATCAAATAAGCTGTGATGCATTTAAAACTCACATATATAATATCCTCTCACTGTGCTCAGCAAATATGAGTACACCCCATTTTGAAAATTTATTTTTTCTAATTCTCATTGAATATTGTTATTATATTTTGTCGCATTTGAACAAAACAGGTTTATTAAACAGATATATTAATTAAAATAACATTTTTGTCTACTAACATCTTTTGAAGCGGAAATATAATACTTAAAATTATTACAAAAATCAAACATGGAGAGTCTAAACATCCGTTTGTATGAGGAATTACATTCTTCTGTCATTCATTCACATCTGCAGCTGAAGTCAGCACAGTAGAAACCGTTGCTTAAAAACATAATGTCACTTTAGAGATAGTATTTGAATGATTCTCTTGCGTAAAGCCTAAAGTAATGAGGACCAACAGCCTCTGGTCTGAGAACCAGAGAGAACTGTTGGATAAACTCTAATATAAATGGTGGATAATGAGATTCCTCCCAATGTTTAAAAGCACTTTGAGTGTCCAGAAAGGGGCTATATAAATGTAACGACTTATTGATTATTATTCTAAAATTGTATAGCATGCTATAGAAAATATTAAATAAAATAATTTGATCTGTGAGTACTCATATATGCTGAGCACTGTATACCATGGGCTTCAAACATAAATGCAGCTATATGTTTTGTTACAATAAATAAAAAGAAATTAAATTGTAAAACAAATTATAAATTATAAAAGAAAGAAATAATCTGTGAAACATAAATAAATAAGAAGTGGGTGTTTATGAAATTACATTGACAGGAAATTGCACATACAAATATAAAAATGCAAAAAAAGTGGTAAATAAAATGTATTACATCTAAAAAACAGTTTAAAAAGGAAAATATAAAGCAGGTGTGCAATTCTAAATTCACAGATTAGGAAGAAACTATATTTAATTTACATTACATTCATCAAAGTAAAGAAAACAAAATAATAATAATAAAATAAGCAAAATTTCACATTGTGTTTTTTACTTGGAGCTACTTCCTAAAGTTGCAGCTATTTATTTATTTTAAAAAATATTGACATAGTTATTGGCGACACGGTGGTGCAGTAGGTAGTGCTGTCGCCTCACAGCTAAAAGGTTGCTGGTTCAAGCCTCGGCTGGGTCAGTTGAAGTTTCTTTGTGGAGTTTGCATGTTCTCCCTGCATTCACATGGGTTTCCTCTGGGTGCTCCGGTTTCACCCACAGTCCAAAGACATGCGCTATAGGTGAATTGGATAGGCTAAATTGTCTTTAGTGTATGTGTGTGAATGAGAGTGTATGGATGTTTCCTAGAGATGGGTTGCAGCTGGAACGGCATCCACTGCATATAACATGTGCTGGATAAGTTGGCGGTTCATTCTGCTGTGGCGGCCCTGGATTAATAAAGAGACTAAACCGAAAAGAAAATGAATGAATGAATAACATAATATTATTACCTGCAGAATGAATCGCCCACTGAAGCTAAGCAGTGCTGCACCTGGTCAGTACCTGGAAGGGAGACCAAATTGGAAAGCTAGGTTGCTGCTGGAAGTGGTGTTACTGAAGCCAGCAGGGGTTGCTCAACCTGGGGTCTGTGTAGGTCCTAACTCCTCAGTATAGTGAAGGGGACTCTATATTGCTCAGTGTGTGCCGTCTTTTCGGATGAGATGTTTAACTGAGGTCCCAACTCTCTGTGGTTGTTAAAAATTCCAGGGTGTCATTTGAAAATATTTGCGGTTTAACCACGTCATCCTGGCCAAATTTGCCCACTGGCCTCTGTCCATCTTGGCCTCCCAACCCTACCGATATCATAACTGGCTTAATCACACTGTGTGTGGAGCAATATGGCTGCCCTCACGTCCTTCAGGTGGATGCTGCACACTGGTGGTAAATGAGGAGATTCCTTTGCAAAATGTGTGAATCACTTTGTGTCCAGAAAAGCGCTAAATAAATTTAAGGATATATTATTATTATATTGACATTATTAAGTGTATTTGTTTTCTATGTATTTTCTTTATATAAAAAGATACGATTATTTTAAAAAAGAAAAACTTTATACTTCCATTTTATTTCATTTCAATTTCATTTTTGTGCTCTGTGTTCAGATGACCGCCAGTAGGGGGCGCGCCGCTCAAGGCTCATTGTTGCGCTCGCCGGTGTGTGAGCATACTGAGCTTGTGCGTATGTGAGTGTGTCTGTCCGTGTGACTCGTAATATGTGTCAAGAGAGTGAGAGGAGACTTCTCTATGTAGGTGACTGAAGCTAATGTGTTTAACACCAGAGGTCAGAAAGACCGAGATCTGTCGAAGTAACAAGTTTTATCCTGAATCCCGCTCCACAATAACGGCACTTATGCGAAAGTAACGGATTTGTGAATAAAGAAAACAAAGATTTTTGTCAAGGGAACTTCTTGTCAAGAGAGGGGAAGGAAATAAGCCGGACACGTCAGAAGAGGATATTTATTGTTTTGGGAAACCGTAATATGAAAAAGGAGCAGGCCGAGATATTAGGTTTTGTCCCCCAGAAAGAGATCGTCTACAACAAACTTCTCCCGTACGCAGATCAACTAGACCGCGAATCCAATGACATTTTGGCCCAGATTAAAGGCAACTTGGGTCGGGCTGTCCAGCTCCGTGAGTTATGGCCCGGAGTTTTATTTTGGACACGGAAACTCTCCACGTAAGTACATGCATAACTATAAAATGTATTTTTTGAGGAGTCTGTTTTATTAATGAACAACAGAGACCGCTCGGGTAGCCTGTAGCCGCTAGCTCGCGAGCTAAATGCTAAGCGCTACCTGAGTCACTCAGCTGTCCTTGCTCATATGTAAACACCCCATGTCTGTCTGTCAGTACTCCATAATGGCCTTTTATAATATTAAAACGAAATATCACTATGCTTGTGTTAACCAGTGTTCCTTCAGTGACTAGAATATAATAAATGTGGGGCTGCTGTAAGATAATTTCCAAGCTAATCTGCTAACGTAGGCTAACATTAGTGCTGGATAAGCAGCTGCCACATGCATCACTGCAACTAGTGGTTAGACATGGAGTCCTTAAAAAGACAGTTTATATGGAGAAGACTGCTTAAATATAGTAAAACATATAGTACAATATTTTACGTCATTAAGATTAAGTAATTCATTTTGATGGTACTAGTCAGTCATATTGAATAACAGACACTTGCATTGTGGGCTTTATTTGTGGCTAGTTTATTTTAAGATATCTTTTATATGTACTGTGTTTTATGATTCATAATTTTATAACATGTATAAATATGAAGTGTATTACCTAAAGTGGTGCTAATACCAGGACAGGGGTAGTGTTTCAATGAAGTTTGTGTAGTAAATCAAACATTGACAGTGTCTGTTTTAAAGAGCAGTATGGTTTGCAAGCCCACTTTCTTATCCATTTGGCCTGTTACCTCATCGCCAGATTAAATTCAAGGCCATGCAGAAGTGTTTCCTGAGGGTATTAGCAGCGGATGTTATGTAGAATTGGATGGAGTCTGCAGTTCAGTGGAAGTGTAAGCCATTCAAGGCAATTCAGTGAGCAAGCCAGTGGTCAGTGTGTGATTCAGACTGTTGACTTTCTTCAGACTAATTCATTAATGCTTTAAAAATATTCATTGAGGGTTTGTGATATTTATTACCTGTGACAGTCCTTTAAACTGAGTTCTGGAGAAATCTTTAAACAAAATAAAAAAAGAATAATAATCATTTTAATGAATAAAAAAGTCAATCAGGAAATTACATTGTAGTTTTAAAACTTACTAAAATGTAATTTTTTTTTATTTTTTGAAAACAAAAGAAGATATTTTGAAAGTTATTTTAGTTGCGCAGCAAGGGTTAAATATTATTATGAAAGTCAATTTTGTGTTCAACAAACGAAAACTCAAGTTAGTTTTGAACAAGTGAAGGATGATTTAATTATGACAGATTTCATTTTTGTGTGAACTATCCCTTTAGGAATAGTTTTGCTTTGGTATAAATGAAACAAGTAAATAAAAACTATTAATATAATTAACATGTTGTTAAACGTAACTCAAAGCAAATAAATATCTTAGACCCATTTATTTTATTAATGGTAATATATTATTAATATTTAAGTCATCTAAAATATTAAAAACTCCTATTTGATGATAAAACTGTGATTGTCGTTTTATGCTGACATAATGGAGTATTATGTCACTCCAAAAGAAAAGGTCTAATCCAAAAGCAGTCACATTATTTGAAGGCAGTTGGAATGAATGTATAATTAAAAGTTATTACAGTAAAAAGAAAATTCTTGGGTGTAGTTATTTTATTTCCTTAATATCTGAATGACAGCAATTGTGGTTTTTGTTTTATAAACAGTAGCTCAACGCCTACAATTGTTTTTTATATTGTTTATTTTTTTGGTTTCAATTATGGAAATGGTTCTGAATAAAGTTGGAGCAGAACATTTGTGTGTCATTGATCATTGAGCAACCTTTCATTTCTGAATGAGTTGATTGAGCCATTGGTTCAGTGATGATCAGTTCAAGACAGTTGCTGCATCACTCACACTGTATTGTTTTTGGTAAAGGACACTTTCGTCTGTGTGGCAGTAGAATTGACTCTTTTGGGATGTTATGCAGCAATTGTGTTTGTAACAAGCCATCCTGATGCTTTGTCACTTTTTTTCATAGGTTAACAGCTAACTTTGTCCACATTTCTTGTTATTATATATTACTACTATATTAAATATGTAGTATGTATGTAATTTGCTATTCACTTTGTCATTCATGAGAGCTAATGCATAATTATGCATTCAAAGGTTAGTCGTAAAAATTCCTTCTTCATAAAATTCCTCAAAGTTTTTGAAGATGAAATATAACATGGCTAACATTAAATATTTTTATATTTTGAATTAAATTTTATTGAATATTTAAACTTTCCTAACTGTTAGTTTTGTTTTGTTTTGTCTTGTGTATCCACCATGGTTTTATATTATTATTATTATTATTATTATTATTATCTTTTTACACATTTTATATCTGTACAGTCTGAATCAAACCCAGGCCCATCTTGCCTTAGTTTTGAAACAATATCAACCATTAGAATTTGGGAAAACTAATTAAAAAGCTTAAATTTAAAATGTATTTATCCTGACTGGCCTAAACGAACATACTTATGGAGCATTCTCAACAAAATGTAGTTTAATCATCAATTAAATAACATGTTAGAACATGTCAAATTTTTGGAATTTTTTTTTTTTTTACAAAATCTATGAATCAGAAACTATTTATACCATTGGTAACAATAGATGTTTATTGTGCAGCTAATTCTTAAAATAATTTCTCAGGACTGGAGTAATTATACTGAAATGTCAGCATTATCATCACATCAGTAAATTACAGTACATTTTAAAGTCAGTTACAAACAAAAAAGTAAAAAGATGTATTTGTATATATTTTTAAGTCTTACTTTTATTAGCCTTTCTACATATTTGAATAGTAAACTAAAGTTGTTTATATATGCCTACAATTTAGAAGAATTTTAAAAGCTCTCTTATGTAATCTATTTTGAGAAGCTGTTTGTGATCTGCTAGCCTGACTCAGCTTTAGTCAGACTCACCACTGCCTTCCTGCTTACATGTTTAGTGATAAGGTCAGAATCGCTCCTTCAAATAACTGATAATGACCGTATGTACGTCCCTCCTAAAAGTTCACATTTCTGAAAATTCACAGTAATATTTTCTATTGTAGGGTGATTACTTCGAAACTTTTAATTTTGCAGTTGGGTCAGATATGAAAAGGTATTTCCAGCAACAAAAATAAGTGCAAAGCAGTTTTAAGTTTAGATCATTTTTAACATTAAAATATGTCGTGTTTGTTTATTTTTGAACACATTCACTATGACTGTTATTTTTTTTATGGAAGACACTTACTAATTTAAATAAAAATGAAAATGTATTAAGTTTAACACCTGTTTGAACTTAAAAAACTGTTGTCATCTGTTCAGTGATACTCCAGTTCAGTGTAATGAATGGTACTTTAAAATAGAAAATTTAAAAACTGTTGAAGGTGGCCATCGTGCACTTGCTCTATACATCATCATTCTGTGTTACTTGGCACACTATGAAAATGTGAAATTACCTATAGCAATAAAGTAGCACCAAACAGTCCTCAAGAGTGCCATTTGATTATGACTGGAACTTTGGAGCGACTCCTAGGTTTATATGATTTTAAAATGACTTTTTGATCCTGTTGAAGGACTAAGAAGTTACATGGTTGGGACAAAAGTCCTCCCTTAGTTCAAGATAAAGGAAAACCAAGACTTATAACAGCCAACTTTGACTATTAAAACTGAAATGGTCAAATTTAAGTATGGACCATTACACTAAATTTCCAGAGCATTATTTATCTTTTTTGCAAAAACTATTTGAGTGATTGAAATAAACTTTGCCTTTAATGTCTTCTGTGTATGTAAAATCCATTTTGCAACATTTATTAGATGATATGTAAACTGTTTGTCATGTTTCTCTCTTATTGCTGTGATATTTTTCACCTTTAAAGGTACCTTCGGCTGTACGGGAGGAAGTTCAGCAAAGAGGACCATGTGCTCTTTATCAAGCTGCTGTACGAGCTGGTCACCATCCCCAAGCTGGAGATCAGCATGATGCAGAGCTTTGCACGACTCCTCGTCAACTTGCTGAAGTACGCAAAAGTCTGACATCAACAATCACCAGACCACTGTCAAATATTTGAGAACGGCACAGCTGATTTGTTGTCGGTCATTTACAGTTTTTATTTATATTATTTACTTGTGTAACACTTTAAAATAATGGTCCATTAGTTAATTTTAGTTCATGTATTTAATAACTTGAACAAAGTGATACATTTATTATGGTATTTATTCATGTTTGTTAACTTTAGTTAATGTTAAGTTAAATAACGTTAGTTCATGTTAACTCACAGTGCATTAACTCCTGTTAACAAGCTCGACTTTGGATTTTAATAATGAGTAGGTAATGTTCAACTATGATTAATAAATGCTTTACAATTGAACGAGGTAAAGTCATTTTTTAATGATTGAATAATACATTATTTTTATTGTTAGGGCACATTTCCACCAAAGTGTTTTTGTTCAGGTGAAAATGCCAGCATTCTTCTAAAAAATCTAAGCTGTGAGCACTTCTTAAACTTTCAAGGCTGGTTTACACCAAGCCGATGCCCAAAAAACTCGCACCTACGAATCCCACCTGTGTTGTCGATGGCTTGTGTCCTAACCCTGAATAGTAAAAAAAAAAAAAAAAAAAACGCAGATCGATCAGCTTATATTAGCGCCTTGCTATGCTTCATGCATTATTTAAAACACTTCCTTTGCCAACAACAGAAAAAAAACGATTCAAGGGAGAAAACACTGAGCTATTGTTGTTTTTATAATAAAATTAGAATTTATTTTTTTGTTTTAACATTTTTTAACTTTTATATAATACACTTTTTTTATTTGCAGGAAAAAGGAACTGCTGTCCCGGGATGACTTGGAGTTGCCTTGGAGACCTTTATACGATCTCTATGAGAGTATCCTGTACTCCAAAACCGAGCATCTTGGTCTTAACTGGTTCCCAAAGTAGGCCTCTTTTTCTATTTACATTTTATTCACCGAGTCTAGTATATTGTGAGCCAGGGCAACAACAAGCATAATGTTTTACTGTTGCCTAATGTTTCTGTATACGTTTTTTATAGCATGATAGCTTATTGTTAGGCAAGGTCCATATGAAATGTTCCCACTCCATTCACTTAGAATGGCCATCATTCAATTCCTTTCAACTTTCAGGATGCTCTTTGAAGTCTGTCTGCTAAAAAAAGCTAGTTTTTTTGATTATTCTTTAGACAATATTTAAAGCGATAGTTCACCCAAACAGGAAAGAATCGATGCTTATTTACTGACACTTAGGTCATCGAAGATGTAGATGACTTTTCTTTCAGTAGAACATTAAAGAAGATTTTTTAGTGACTCATAAAAGGCAAACAGTGGTTCCTGGTACTTTAAGAGTGAACAAACATATGCAGGCAAAACAAAATTAACACTTATCACTCATGATGACACATTAAGATATTATGAAGTGAAATTAGCATTATATACTAGAGCCGAAGATCTTTGCCCGAACCGACCGGACCCGACAGATTCGGGTGGGTTCTGCATAATTTCTATAATTTTAGACAGGGACGGGCCAGGCTTGGGCTTGCGCAGTAAATGAACAGTCATGTGATGCTTTTCAATTAGCGCGAGAAAGTAATTAAATTGTGTGTTACAACATTAAATTCCATCCCTGCAAAGGTGAAACAAATGATGCAGGCGAAGTCAAAAAGAGCGAATTTTGACTGTGGTCAGGCCAGCCACCTGTTTAAAAAGAACGGTCATTCTAGCCGACAAGGGATTTTGGCGGTCGCACATACACTGCGTATTACAATAGAGCGCTAAACAGCAATGTACAGCAGGCTGACAGGGAAGATGACGAGGTCACTCGCTACATTGAAACTGCTGTCATGGTAAATTAAATGGATGTTCTTGGCTGGTAAAAGATGAACAAACAATCCTACCCAAAATATGCATCCCGGCCAGCGGCAGCAGTGAAAAGTTGTTCAGTGCTGCTCAGTGATCGCAGAACTGTGCTAAAGCAAAGTCCCTTTAAGACAAGTAATTTCACTCGGTGGCCCTCTTTAAAATGCCTCTCAGGCAGTATGCTCGGGCATTCTGTTTGAATAGGGAAAGATCAAATTCTCCAAAACTGCCTACCAAGCTTACGGTTGAATTTCATATTTGGAATCACCAATAAAATTAAACAACAACCGTCTCTTTAGTTTCATTTCTAAACGTCTGAATTACACAAAATCTGCAGAAACTCACACCTAGTGTGAGCCCCTCTCCCGGAGTATCGTCAGTCTGTAGCGATTGATGATTGGCTCCTGTACTAGAAGGTGGGCTTTTGGCTTCTGGACTAGAAGGCGGGGCTTCATTTGCCATATTAGCCCCTTTCACACAGTGATACCGGTAAATATCTGGAAAATTTCCGGAACGACTTTACCGGTATATTCAAAAAAGCGCTGTTCACACAGGCGAGGACGTTACGAAAATTTTCCGGAAAAGAGCATTCACACATCCATTCCAAAATACGGGTAAATTCTGACATCATTCACCACAAATGAGCTTTAAACGGCTGCGCTTGTATTTGTAAACATTTGACTAAATTAAAAACTCTGTGGATGATCAATATTGTGAACAACTTTCGCAGGATCACTTTCGCATGTCGAGATGTTCATAATATGTGCGTGTGCAGGCGCTCACAGGCTGTTTCACAGGCACACGCAAAGCTTGAAGGTAAACAAACAGCGGCTTATCATAAGCATCTCATCAGTGATTATTTACACAGTTGGCATTAAGAAGAACATATAAACGTGATCTAACTAACTTCTAGCAGCTAAATGTGTCCGGAAAAATATTCAAAGGCTTTTATTCTCACAAACCGCGCGGACGTAAATGCGTCTGACTGTTGTGATTGGCTAAAGCAGACGTCTCACGTCAGCACGTTTTAGACGTGCACGCGCTTATTACGGCAATCTTCCTTCTGCATTCACACAGCGCAGCATTCCGGCAAATTGCCGGTAATGTTACAACTTCTCTTTCTGGAAAATAGCCAGAACGAATTTACCGGTATTTTCAAAAAGGACCTGTTCACACATACAACCTTTCCGGAAAATTGCCGGCAATTTTCCGGAAAGGTTTGTATGTGTGAAAGGGGCTATTGACATTATGCTCTTTCCCATTGAAAACTATATATTGCTTGTGTATTCTAGAGTCTTTATCTAAAGCCATCTACAGTGAATTTAATAATTTTCCTCCATAAAACACATAGCCCAATCTTGGGGAGTAAAGGATTTTCAAATTATAACTAAATATTTAATAAATAAAAAAATCATAATGCAGACAAAGTAGTCCAATATAGGCTAATGAAGGCATTATTCTGTAAATATTTAGCTTCACCGTCACCTTAATGCCAGATTGTGAAGAGAAGTGGCGAAACAAATCCTACAGAGCCTGAATCTTAATTTTATTATTGCCAAATAACATCATAATTTATAATTTATTTTAATTTAATTTGTTAAGAAAGACTTATTTTTTTGGTGTGTTGGCCAATTTAAAGATGTACCTAGGCCTTTTAGAGTGTTGAGATGTTATGAAGTTACAGAGGACTCACAGAGGACTGGGTTCGGGCTTTTAAAAAACTGTCAATCAAAATATAATTGTCTGGCTTTTTTTTTTTTAAGCTCTATTATATACATTATTACCTTTAATTCAGAGCTATCATTGCAGCTTTTCAATTGGGCTTCCTGGTAAATAATGATGTGTGGGCTCAAACTCAAACTTTAGAGTGAGAATATGTTTATTGTATTGTTCATCAAAATTGTGCATATTTTTATTTAACCTAAACTAGGAATGCACCGAATTGAAAATTATAGACAGACACCAGAAATAGTTGATTCAGTTTCAGTTTTTTCAAAGTGTAAGCAAAAATGCTTTGTACTCATTTTTTTAATTATCTTCTTAAATACCATTAAGTAATGTTGTAAGACATTTAACAAAATATCTTAAATTGATAAAAAAAAAACAAGCCAATAAAATAAAAATATTTATTTATTACTATCTATACTTTTATTGATATATTGATATATTGATATATTTTACCAGTGTTTCCATGACAGCAAAACAGTGAGATGAACTTAATTTATATGTGCAGATTTTGCTTTTAAGAGAGCATGTGTGGTTCTTGCATAGATAAGTATACGTGTACATGAGCAGAATATCCACATATCACATATATGGCATCCACATAAACTGAAACAGTTTCTGTGCATTCCTAGCTTAAGGCTGTAAACAAACAACTTCATCTCTGTGCCTACATTATTATATGACAGACTGTTTGTCCAGACTGTCAGACTCAGGAAAGTTTGATTACCATGTTAAAGTGCTTTTAATTATTTATTTACGAACCACAATTTCAACTAAAAATCTTCTTGGTGTTCTAATGAAAAAAACCCACTGTCTTCAATATCTTGAGAATAAATAAATTGACCGCAAAATGTCAAGAAAGAGTTTTTTATGGTGAACACATGGCACATGGTTCTGTGTTATGCGCAACAAGACAAAGTTATGAGGAAGCAAATAAAATCTCAGTGCCTGAATTGGGTTATGAATAAAATTAATTTTAAATCATTTTACATTTCAGTTGGGTCCTTTGCTGATTCTTGTACTCATTTAGCATACCAAGCATTCTTAGAAGAATCTGTTAATCAATTACAAATGTAAGGTATATGTTATTGCTTTATCTAGCATCTGGCTTACGCATTTTTCCTTTTCTCACATTCAGTTATCGAGCAGAAGCCTCAACTAAACAAAAAATGCTTAATATTGTGCGCAAGCGGTAAGCATAGCCCGTGTTTTATTTGTTGCACTCTTTTTCCAAGGGCAGCCGTTCATGCTTAACTGCATGTGGCCAAAAATTAAAATAAAATCAGCAATTTAAATGACAAATCAGCTTACATCTGCATTTGTATTCATAATCTTTGTTCTTGTTGTAGCTTAGTCGTATCCACTTAATAACATGCTTCACAAACAGATCAGGAAATGGTGCTCCTTTCAAACTTTCTAATATTTCATCTTTTCTGTCAAACACAATTCCTGGTCACTCGAGAGGTGTCGACTAAATTGGTTTGTTTGGGTGAAATATCTGGCAACAAAGCTTTTATAAACAAATGTTCTCCAGCACACCTCCTCCAGGAATAGGACAAACCCATTTCTTTGTTTTCATCCTTTTAACCCTAGAACCTTTTGATTGCTCTTAATAGTAAGCTAGCAGTTTATATTACAAATATAAAGGAACATGTGCCAAAAGCATTGCAAGCCAGTCATATTATACAAATAACATCTCATTAATATTAATATTTTCCATAAGGAAATAACAGTTTAGAGATTACTTGTACACTTTAAAGATTGATGTTTCAGCATCTATATCTCAATGTGCGCTTTCCCAATAGTCACATCGCAAAGATTCGCAATGGCCAATCTAGAATTGTATTTGATCACTGTATTTATATGGACTTTATATTATTTATGCAAAAAACATTTCTTTGATTTTATTTATTTATTTCTTTTAATTAATTTTTTTATTTAAAAAAATATCTTCATTTTTTTATTATATATTTAAAATTTAAATTAATAAAAATTTTTTGGTCTTGTTTCAAGTCCAAATATCTACATTTCATAGCGAAAACAAGATTCTTTTACTTACCTCACTGGCCAATAATTTCGTTAAAAACAAGCAACAATTTCTTAAGTTTCACTTACTATTCTGACGGTGAAAGCTAAACAACATTTTTACTGGGTCTACTTTTTTTGATATTTGAATTGGAAACAAGACAAACATCTTTATTTTGTATTGTAATTATAAAATTTCTGTACCGATCTCAGACTGTTAGACTCCCTAGAAAACTGTCAAATAATGCCATCCAAACCATCTTCTGTAACTGTATTCATATTGCAATACTTATCTCAGAAAAATAAAATATCGCAAAATCAGATTTTTCCAATATTTTGCAGCCATAGAGTAAAGCAATCGTCATTTCCTGGTTAACTGGTGCCAAATATCAAAAGTAAAAATTGAATTTTTTGTGGTAGAAGAAGCTTTGTGAATCTTTTCTTTAATAAACGACTTGCGCCTCAGAAGCCAAATGCAGACACACAATGAACGCGTGGTGGTGTTTGAAGACAATTTGTCTTGACAATTCTGGAGGTAATTAATGATATAATAACAATATTACTGAAATGAAGGCGTTTTGGAATGACCAAAACAACATTTTAGATGTTTTACATTGTGCTCAGCCCACTAATTTGTCCATTCAAACATTTTCATCATCACATGATCTCTACACATTACCTTTTTTAATGCGCATTCGGTAAAACCTTTTCCATCGTAGCTTATGTGCATTATTTTCAATAAAATAATAATAATAATTTTGTCCCACTCAGTTATGCGCATACGTTGTTTAAACGCATTAAAAAATTTTTGCGTCTTGGCATGTCCATCAGCCATTTTTTTAATGCGCATATCCAAAATGCACATAAAAATAGGTGGATGGAAACATAGCTATTGACTCCTGTGTACTTTTTATAAATATTTATATAGACAAACATTTGTAAAATGTATTTATTATTTTGTAAAGAATAAATAAATAAAAGTTGAGTTGTTTGGGTGTTTTAATCAATCAAAAAGCTTGATGAAATAATTAAATTGAATTAAATAAATTAATATCTCATTTTTTAAATGAACTGTTTCTGTAAACTTACAATGCTTTTGGTAAACTCAGCACAATTTGATATCGGCCATGTTTCTTTTGCATTAGACTGTATATACTGTATGTGGGTCAGATCAGCTTGGCTCACTGCTTTTAGAGGACAAGGTCACCGTACTTTTGCCAATTTTCCTCTTGGGTTCTGGTATCATTGTGTTCTATTTTAATCTTGGCCAAACTGACTGTGCTGAATGCGGTTGGTGTTTGTTTACACTTTCACTGAGAGGAAAACCAACAGCTGCCGTGTCTCACTAACGTTCACTGGCAGTGTATTTTTAGAAGCAGGGATGTACAGACAACATATTTTAATAATCAACTAGTCAGTAGATTGTTGGAACAACTAGATGGCTAGTCAATCTTAATAGGATAGACATTATTTACACATCGTCATGACGCTCCAGGGTTAGCGTTATGATTCTGTGCAACACAAGAAAATATTTTGAAGAGCATCGTGAATCATGCTATGACAAAAACAATTTTAGGATGTTTCTGAAATTATCTCCTTTTATATTTTTTGTTCTCTATTTCTCAGTAGAAAAAAAAAGTTGGTTATGCTTTTGAAAAATATATGGAAAAAAAACGCTATAGAGGCTGAATTTGATTATTTTTTAGAACTATAGCATTCAATTACTAATAGACTTTTAGGTTCCAGTAGAAATTTCTAAGAGGAACAAATGGTAGGTTTCTAAGAGGAATAAATGCATTCATATTTATTATTTTCTAACATTAATAAAATAGCAGACTCAATTACATCAGAACAGAATGTAGGCTGAAAAATAATAAGTTTAAACACAAACCCTTTTTAAAAGTTTTAAAACAACCCTTGTGGTGCTCAAATGGCAAATTTCATCTTAAAGTCTGTGGATTTTTGCAGAATGATTTTGGGAGTATCACAACTTAAAACTTAACATATAAAATAAAAAATAAAAAGTTTTTAACTTTTATGTAATATTTGTGGGATGCTCTGATCAATCAGCCGGAGATCGGAATAAGCCGATAATCACATTTCACGGCACAAACGGTACTCATTGATCTGGCCGATCTCATGTACCGATCGCAAGTGTTTGTTTACGAGTTTACAACACACTCTGAGGAAGATGCACGTGCGCACCCGTGTGATGCATCAGCAGCGCTACAACGCATGAGCAATGTTTCCAAATTGCATTTTTAGTAATTTTTTTTACCATTTTTTTTTTCATTTAATTTACCTATTATTAATATTTTTTGTAAAGCTGCTTCTGACTATTACATCTATGCAACATCCTTAATTTATTATTTTAGGTAAGGCAATATCTCATACTTAAAGGGTAATTGTACTTATGCAATGGCGAAGTTATATAAAGCTTGAAGAATCAGAATCGGTACTCGATATCGGCCAATTACCATGACAGGGAATCTGTACTCGCTATTGGCTGCAAAAATCCTGATCGGAGCATCCCTAGTTTACAGTGCAAATCCAAATAGATCCAGTTATTTGGTAAACAAAGAAAGGCTCTGATATATACTAAAATGCAGAAAATATTACTTTACACACTGAATTGTAAATAAATCATATGAGCATTTTATCTTAGTCAATAACATTGCTGAAATTATTTTAAAAACTGAAATAATTTAATTTACACACATTTACACAAGTAAATAAATAGTCTCAAAGATGGGCTAAAAATCTGCAGATTTCTGTGAGGGCAGATTTCATTTGGGCCTAGTAATCATTTAGTATATGTATATAATATATTTTGTATGATAACATATGTTTTTGTGTATTTTAACAAGTACAGTTTAGAATGGTTTATGATTGACGATAGAATAGTATTTCACAAGTATTTTGACATTGTTTAAAAAACGTTATGAAACATGCATTCATAATGCTTTCAGTGTGTGGAAAATCACTTTTGTCCAATTCAATTCATGCCGACAAAATTGGGATCAGTTCGGAGCAGCTTCCTGATTTGAATGGGCTGTTAATAGTGTGACCACATTTCTCTAAATAAGTTTTTTCTTTTATTAAAAAAGTACACAAGGAGAGCCTGATAACCTGGCATGTTGCTGTCATGTGCTCAGGTGCCTCTGGTGTTGGGAAACTGTCATTCACTCTTTCACAAAACGCACTGTAGTTGGTTTTCTGCTTTGCACGTGGTCTAATCGCATCTTTTTGCTTCAGCCTGAGATGCGCCTGCACTTTCACATTAACACACATGATTTTTCTCTGTCTCTCTCCCCTTCAGCTCCGTGGAGAACGTGTTGAAGACGCTAGTCAAAAGCTGCAGAGTGTAAGTGCTCTTTCAATCCTCTGTCATTCACTAATGTGCCTATAAATGTTCAACCCCTTTCACAAAGGAATTGCACATTGTGTTAATCAGCTTTCCGTCGAGCTGGTGAAAGAATCATGTAATCAGGCCGTTGTTAGACAAGCCCACAGCTTTCACACTGAGCCGATTACAGCTCTCTTAACACATTATACTGTCGACCCGTTTTATTCATATAACAACCTCTTTTCATCATTTCGCAAGAGCTCACATAACAAATAAACAACCGTGGAGCTGAGGAAATGACATGTGATTTTGCTATCAGAATGTCACATAATGTGTGTGTGTGTATGTGTGTGTGTGTGTGTGTGTGTGTGTGTGTGTGTGTGTGTGTGTGTGTGTGTGTGTGTGTGTGTGTGTGTGTGTGTGTGTGTGTGTGTGTGTGTGTGTGTGTGTGTGTATAGATATTTTCCTGAATCGGCCACACAGGAGATGCTGGATGAGTGGCGACCATTACTATGTCCGTTTGATGTCACTATGCAGAAGGCCATTGGCTACTTTGAGCTCTTCTTGCCCACCATTATGCCCCCTGAACAGCACGACAAAGGCTTCAAGTATGTACAACTAGCAGTGAAATAAGTGTTGCACTCAAATGAGAAATGGCTCGATAGTGATTAAAGGATAGTTCACTCCAAAACTAAAATTTACTCCGTATTTACTCTGTCTCTAATAGCTCCTTTTATAAGTTTCATATTTTTTTGTTGAACACTAAAGAAGATATTTTGAAGAAAGCTGAAAACCACTGACTTCCATTGTAGGAAAAACAAATACCATGGAAGTCAATAGTTACAGGTTTTCAGCATCTTTCAAATATATTCTTTTGTGTTTAACAGAATATAGAGAGGTTTGAATCAAGTAAAGGGTGAGTAAATGATGACAGAATTTTCATTTTTGGGTGAACTATTACTTTAAGTGCAAGCAACAAGTGTGAGTCGGGTTAATAGAGGATTTGTATGTGTGTTTTAGGTTATGGTTTGATGAAATGATGAATCTCTGGGTCTCAGTGCAAAACCTGCCTGCTTGGGAGGGTGTAAGTACATCTCATTTGTCAGTTCATTTGTTAAGTGCTAAATGCTGTGTGTCACCATTGGCTTTCTGTGCTCTCGTTTGATCTTGCAGAATCTAGTGAATCTCTTCGCACGCCTGGCTAATGACAACATTGGTTATGTGAACTGGGATCCATATATTCCCAAGGTACTGTCCTGCTGCTGTGAGAGTTTTGACCCTCTGAATGCATTCAATCTCTGTATACTTTTGCATTCTTATTATGTTTGAACTCATTACTTTTTCAATTATTTTGAAATGATAAAAAAGGCCTTCTATTCTGTGAATATTTTAACCGTAATCGTTCTGCATTTATTCTTTTTATTAATAAATTGTGGATTAATTTCTTTCAGGTATCAAATTACTTATGATTGGGGCCAGACAGAATCTGTGGACGTTTTTTTACTATTTCTGTAGAGAATTGTGTAAAATATCAGCAGATTTATGCAGAATAATTTTAAGAGTATCATAGCTAAACTTAATAAATAAAATAAAAAAATACCTGTTTAGCTTTTATTAAATCTCTACAGTGCAAGTTCAGTTAAATCTACTTATTTAGTAAACAAAGCAAGTCTCTCTGATTGTGTTATATCTCTTAAAAGACTTCTCTTTTCCCAAGTATAAATAGGAATAGGCTACATATTGTGTTCATCCAGTACTGCATAGAGAGGAAGGAGAGTTCCGCTTATTATCAAAGAGATGCCCTGGATTATCCCCAAATGCAAAGATCATTTCAAGAAATCAGTGCAATTTTGATTTTCTGTGATACTTCACACATTAACGTATGTAAACAAATCCTTAACAGAGACTGGCTGTACCTACAGACATTATAATAGGAGGTGGCCACGTGTCAAAGCAACAGACCGAAAGCGGATCATGCTTTCTATTATAATGTCTATGAGCAGTATATCAAATGTATGGACACACACACACACCAAGCAGCAGCAGAGGAGAGGTGTGCCAGTCACTGAATTCAGCATATAGGGGTTCTCAAATGTCCGCCTCATTATTTCTTGATATTATGCACTGTGTTTGTCATAAAGTTATCTGTAGCTCAAATGACAGCATTCTGTATTTAGCTTTTCACTTGTATTGTGGCTCTGAACTATCAAAACACATCTCAAAGGGCTTTTTTGGATGTGAAAAAGCGTAAAAAAACCCAGTTAGTTTTTTAATTTTATGATGGACAAAAGTTTCACAGGCAGTGTGTTTGTACAATTCACACAACGTGAGGTCGAATTAATTTTTTTAACCGGCGAAAATTACGGACAAACATTTTGGGTTTGGTATGCAACAACCTTAAAGGTGTTTCATATTTACCCTGGTTAATGTGTAATGTTTAAAACCAGAAAAAATAGGATAAAACCTTTTTTATTCTATGCTATATTAACAATGTAATTGTACATAATAAAAAAATAAATAAATGTGTATTTGGACAAATACCTCTTCATGCATTAAGATATTGTCTTTTAAAGCATTGTAAAGGTCTTTATTTTCATTTTTGACCAATTGCATTCATCATTCTGAATAACATCATACATGTTTTCTAAAAGAAATGATGATGCTAAATGTCTGAATTTATTCTGATATTTTCTGTCTTGCTTCAGATCTTCACCAGAATCCTGCGTAGCTTTAATCTGCCAGTTGGCACCAGCCAGATGGTAGTTCCTAGATACTTGACTAACTCCTACGACATTGGTCATGTGGTACTTTGGATTTCCTCCATGCTGGTAAGTTTCATGAGTCACATATCTATAAAAAGGCTAATTAATAAAAGGTTTGTTTATTCACAGATCATTTTTATAGTGTTGCTTATGGCTTTTTTCAGGGTGGCCCTCAGAACCAGTCCCAAAAGCAGCTTAATGGGCTCTTCAGTAGTATAGCATCCTTCTATCACCCCTCAAACAACGGACGCTGGCTGGTAAGATGTTCTCTATTTTAGGGTAAACAACAAGAACAATATGATGCAAATGGAAATCTCGTCCTCCCACGTTCTAGAGCTGCCTACCTGCGCTGTGTTGTCATCTGAGCTTCATGTTTGCGATATGCATTGACAGATGGTTCTCTGACAGAGCGAGGACACTTCAAATTCCAGCTATTGAAACCCTGCTAACAACCTTTCAGTTTCCATCTTAGACATGCATAATTTTCACACTCTAATGATACTAAGTGCCATAAACTACAATTCGGATGGTTTTTAAAGTTAATTATTTAACTCTGCATTTTTTTCTTTAAAACAAACTTATTTGGGATCATTGATATCAAAAGAAAGCATAACTAATCATCTGCGCCTGTTTGTTACATTACATTTCACAAAAAAAACAAAAAAAAACAAACAAACAAACAAAAAAAAAAAAATATATATATATATTTTTAACATTGATTCTTTTTGGCCAAAATAAACCTGTTTACATGCTGAAGATGACGGTGTTTAATGTAAATGCCCAAACATTGAGAAAAAAATTGTCAAAATGTATCGAAATGTACCACTTAACTAATAATTATCATTTTAACCTGACACAAAATGAATTTACAACAGGGAAAATAAGTACTGAACAAGTCACCATTTTTCTTAAAAAACATATTTCTAAGGGTGCTTTAAGTTATGCATGATAAAATGAAATTATGCAGGGAAAAAGTATTGAACACATGAAGAAAAGGAGGTGTAGAAAGGCAGTGAAAGCCTAGACAGCAGCTGAAATCTCTCAGTAGTTATTCAGCAACCCTCTGCCCTTCCTCAGTGTAAATCAATATTTGCTGCTGCAGTCTAACATTTACATCATCAGAATGATGAAGATGAAACTAGAGGGGACATTTCAGCAAGACAATGATCGAAAACACAGCCAAGGAGACTCTCAATTGCTTTCAGAAAAAGAAAATCAAGCTGTGGAATGGCCCAGCCAATCACCTGACTTGAATCCAATATAAAATATAATTTTGAAGATTTGATTGGCGAGACACACAGAACAGTCAAGATTTTTACACTGTTGAAGTATGTGTAAAACTCACACCTGAGAAATTCATGTGACTTCATTCTCCATATGAGAGGTGTCTAACCTGCCATCACCAAAAAAGCCTTTTATATAAAGTATTAAATAAATTTCAGTGGTTCAGTACTTTTAAACAACTGATTTTTTATTTATTTATTTATTTTGTATTATGTTTGTATTATTTGGGTTTTTACCAAAATCTGGTTAATTTTTATGTCAACAGTTTTTTTTTTTTTTATTCCCAGGAAAAAAACATGACACGTTCAATGCTTATTCCCCTGCTGAATCTATTTATTTTCTTTTTGCTAAGGGGAAGGAATTTCATCACCATGTTTAGTTCACATATAAAGGAAAATTCTGTTATTATTATTCTGCCTACATGTTGTTCCAAATCATCCAAACCTTTATTCATCTTTGAAACTCAAATTAAGATATTTAAAATGATATTTAATAGCTCTGTAATCCTCCATCGACAGCAATGGTCCTGACTCATTCAAAGTCAGAACAGTTACCAAAAAACATCTTCAAAACATTCCATGGGCTCTATTTTGACGGTCCATGCGCAGAGCAGAAAACGCAGGGCGCAAATGCTTTCAGGGCGTGTCAGGATGCGTTTTTGCTAATATAAGGACGGGAAATCTGCCTTGCGCTGTGGCGCATGGTCTAAAAGGGTTGAGTTTATTTTCTTAATGAGTTATAGGTGTGTTTTGAAAATAAACCAATCAGAGTCTCATCTCCCATTTCCTTTAAGAGTCAGCTGCGTCGCACCAAGAGCGCATTCGCTATTTACAGGACGCAAAGTAAGTCTAAGTGGAAAAAATGAGCATTTCACAAGCAAACAGTTAACAGTTAACAGTTTTTTAACAGAAAACTGTTAAACAGAGCATCTACTGCGTGAGAATGAGAGATAATAGAACTACTTTCACATTCGCTCTTGGATAGGGAAACCTTTACGCACAGACATCAATTAGTCTATAAATAAATACTTTTGTTTAAGCGCAAATATTTGTTTCAAAACTATTTCTAAATTCAGTTCTAATTTCCAGCAAATGAATAATAATAACAAAATGTGCTCAAAAACCTGAGTTATATCCTAAAACACATGCCGTACCCCATATGGTCTAAAACCTGACAGGTGGGCAAATCTAAGCTTGTTTTTAATAAAACAAATATAAATATGGATATAATAAATAATACTGCTAATAATAATAACATTATACAAAAGCAAATTGTTATGAATGAACTGAAAAGCCTCCCGAGATGAAGACATAAAAGCAGTGATTTTTCATATTTATGTAGGCTAGAAAATAATATGTTTTGCAATATTTTAGTCCTTTATATTTATATCCTATATCTATTCTTATTATATCCTATATATATCCTTAATATTTTAATTTTTTATATGTAAAGATATTTGCCTATTGCTCTCTTGTGCGTATTAAGCAGTGCGTAAGCGAGGTTTAGAACGGGTTAGTTTTGGTCTAATGAAAAATCTAATATATTTTCTCAAAATAGCAACGTGCCAGCGGTCTGCCTCAGAACGCCTTCCTTTTTAGACCAGAACGCCTATGGGCGCACAAATGAGCGCTAATGCATTTGTTATTTAAACAGCGTAGCGCAACGCCTCAAAACGACTCTTGCGCCAAGATGAAACTACCAAAAGACTATTGTGCCGCGCCTTGTGCCACACTGCGCCGGATGTATGATAGGGCCCCATATGTCTGTGCCATGTCAGTGGTTTAACTGGAATAATGTAAAGTACAAGAATAATTTTGTGTGCACATAAGACAAAAATAAGACAAACTGTGAGATATCACTAGGGATAATGGGAATCGATTTTTATCCATATATTGTGATAGAAAACCTCATGACTGAAAATCTTAATGATTTTGAGAGATTTGATCAGTGTCAATCATATTTAAATATTGCTTCTATTTTGTCACAGATGAAACTGATGAAGCTCCTTCAGCGTCTTCCTGCCAGTATAGTTCGACGACTGCATCGGGAGCGTTATAAGAAACCCTGCTGGATCACCCCTGTTCCCAGCACTCACAAACTCACAGACCAGGACGTGACCGACTTTGTGGAGAGCATGAAGCAGCCGGTTCTGATGGCCATGTTCAGCAAGACGGGCAGCATGGATGCAGCTCAGGCCCTGCAGAACCTGGCACTCATGAGACCAGAGCTGGTCATCCCACCTGTGCTAGAGAAGTAAGTGTGTGGAGCTGCCTCACATTTTTAAAAGCAAGTAGTTCTGATCTCTTATGATAATGTAAAATTAAATTTGAAATATGCAATTTACGTTTAAAAATAAAACAATTAATATCCTATTTAAACCTGTATTTAGCATTATCCACTTTTGATTCTCAAAAAAAATGTAAGACTAGTTAGATGGGGCCACATTTACATAAAAATATGTACACAAAAAGGCAAAACTGGCAAATATCACATATTTGTCAGGGCTCGAAATTGCGACTGTTTTGGTCGTATATGCGCCCAAAATTGTATCTATCTCAAAAAATATTTGGGAGCATATGTGCGAGTGCATAAAATAAATGTTGTGCGACCAGTTTTCACAGCAAAATGTTCACCACATGTGCGGAATTGGAAGGCATTCACACATTAAGCATCTTTGCACCTAAAAACACCAAACGCAGCACTCAGGAATAGTTTAAAACTGCAGTAAACAAAGCATGCAATGCTTGCCCCGCCTTTAAGCTCTTCTTATTGGCCCACTGTGCTATAACATAACATGAATGGTTTGGTTAATATCAGCTGTCAATCACTCGGTTCCGATGACAGGGAGCTACAGCCACGAAAACGCAAAGATCTGGATCTGAGAGAATGTAAACAACAGACAGATTTAGTTTTAGAAACCACCTAAAGTTACAACTAATGACACATCTGATTAGTGATCATGTAATGAATGTCAGTCCAGCATTTACACTTTTCGAAGAGTGGATGAAAGACTTCCAATGTTTAAAGTCCGCTATGATAATGACTAAAGCATTAACCGTAAAGCCGGTGGGACGGAGGTTTCAGGTAACAGTGTTTGCCACTGAATCTACACATTTTAGATGTTCTAACGTTATTTAGTCCTTCATTTAATCATCACGATGCTGTCAATCATGCGACTGATACGTTATTCACCATTACTAAAGAGGATACATTCACTGAGATGAAGCATATTACAGCTCATGAAAAGACAGTTACTGCTATTAAGATGATGTATGCAAATAATAAGTTATAAGTCAATATCATCTGTGCAATATCAGACAGCACCCGTGAGAACAACACAGTGATTATTGTTAATTCGGTTGATGTCATTTACGTCAAGCAATGCGTGCAGGGCCGGTGAGTGCATGCAGAGTTTTGTTTATTTGTTAGCTGTGATTAGAGTGTTAATATATAATAGAATTTGCTAAAATAAAACGTGTATTAACGGTGCTCATAATTGTTGGTGGGTGCGACTAAATTTTGTCTGCTTTGCTTAAAGTTTTGAAGTTAGGAGCACCGGTGCTACTAAGAACAAAGGTTAATTCCGAGCCCTGTTTGTTAACCTAGGGGTTAAAGGGATAGTTTACTTGAAAGAATTAAAAAAAAGTTAAAGTACTCGTCCACAGGTCATTCAGGATGTAGGTAATTATTATTATTTTTTTCACTAGAACATTAAAGAAGATTTTGACCTGAATGTGTGATCCTTGATGATTCATACAATGGCAGTGAACGGATAAGTTTTTTAGATAAAAAATAAAGGCATACAAACAAGTGCAAATCAATAGCCACGACTTCTGATGACACATTAAGGTTTTGTAAAGCAAAATGATCGGTCTGTGTAAAGTAATTAAATGTTATTCACAGGGTTCCCACACTTATTGAAAGTACTTGAATTTTAGGCATATGTATTCAAGTCCTAGAAAGTACTTAAAACAAACATGGGTTATTGTCAGTGCTTGAATTAAATGTGAAATGAGATTTGTTTATTGTGGTATTTCAACTATTGTACTGTGATGCTGTCATAAACAGAATGGAAAAAATGGAAAATTCTTAATTTACAAATCTTCAATTTAAATCCTGTACAAGAACTATGACAACACACATTTTATCAAAGTTTCAGAAACCACATTTGACTATTGCTTGTATTGAATTAAACACATTTTCTTAGAGTTCTTTGAAGATGACATGAAAACATGAACATGAAAAGTTTTGCACATTTTTTTTTTAAATGAAAATAAACATTCAAAACGTCATCATTATTAGCACATTTTTTTATGTAAATATTAAGCGTAGGTGGCATGGGGGCTCAGTGGTTAACACTGCCACATCTCAGCCAGTTCCAACTGGGCCAGTTGTCATTTCTGTGTGTAGTTTGCATGTTCTCCCTTTGTTCATGTGGGTTTCCTCTGGGTACTATTGTTTCCCCTTACAGTTCAAAGACATGCGGTACAGGTGAAATGGATTAACTAAATTGGCCCGTGTGTGTGTGTGTGTGTGTGTGTGTGTGTGTGTGTGTGTGTGTGTGTGTGTGTGTGTGTGTGTGTGTGTGTGTGTCACTGTGAGAGTAAATGGGTGTTTTGTGTTATTGGGTTGCAGCTGGAAAGACATCTGCTGCATAAAACATATGCCGGAATATTTAGCGGTTCATTATGCTGTGGTGACCCCTGATAAATAAGGGGCTAAGCCAAAGGAAAATTATTGAATGAATATTAAGTTTAAGTGAAATGTTAAGAAAACACATGTGGGGGGTGCAAATTGCAAATTTGAAAAGTCATTAATAAAAATGCTTTTATTAATCAAACTGCATATAATTGATGTAATTTGAAAGTTCTTTAATCTGCTGTTCATTAAAGAGTGGGAACCCTGTATTTTACAATATTATTAGCTTTATTTCACATGTGCACCTGTAGTCTGGTTGCTTTTAATGACAAAGGCATGAGAGTTGACGGACTACAAAGACTACAACTAGACTACAATCAGACAAGTTCCATATGTGTTAAATAGCTGTTTAAACAATGGCTTATGTTAAATAGCTGATTGAAAGTAACATTTTTTTTTTTTTTTTTTTTTTTACAGTTATTCAAATTTAGTTTTTGTATAAAGTCTTAACCATGTAAATTCTGACATGAAATAGCAGTCAGAAATTTTATTTTACCTTTAGACAAATATGATAAGAAAATTTTTATGGTTTTTCGTTGACTAATGTAGTGTAATATAGGGAAATAATGAGCTTATATTTTTATTTTTAGGCTCAAACTTAGCTAAATATGATTTTTTTTGCATACAGAAAACAGAAGATAAAACTTTGATTGCTTGTAATGTAAATAAGTGAGTTCTTAGAAATAACAGTAAAAGGTTGCTTGCAAGAAAAGCTTTTAAATATACATTATAATGATGTTATTTCCTAATATTATTTATTCATAAGATTATATCAAATAAGTTTTTTAATAAGATGTGAGGAGCAAAACATACACATAAATAATTGTAATTAACATTAACTAATATATCATATTTAATTCATAAAAAATGCATAAAAACAAAAAGAAAAAGGAAAGGTATTAACCAGTAAAACATACCAGAGTAACTATTAGTTCATTCTGCTATGGTGACCCCTGATAAATAAAGGTAAGGCAAGGCAAGGCAAGTTTATTTATATAGCACATTTCATACACAATGGCAATTCAAAGTGCTTTACATAAACAAGAATAAAAGAAACAAGTAAAATAAAAATAAAAACAAATAATAAAAATGCGTCAAAACAAAACAGAAAAACAGGTAAAATGTGATATAAAAGAATGAAGAAGAAGAGTGAATAAAGGAATATCTAAAAGGAGTGAGTTAAAAGGCTTGTAGATGTTTACATACTATGGTTTTTTTCAGCAAATGTTTGATCATGTTGATGATTGAGTAGGATTTTTAAACCTTAAAACTTTACCGTATGCCATATAGTACCTTCCTTTATTCACTTTCAGGGTTTTCAAATCCAGTCTTTGTAAATAGACTCTGTAAGCAGTCATCTTGGAATTAAGTGTTAAAGCAGGAGCTGGTCTGTTTGTAAAGGAAGAACCAACTAAAAGCCACTGTGTATAATGTGTGACTCTGCTTCCCCCTGCAGGACGTATCCTGCTATGGAGACACTGACAGAGCCACACCAGCTTACTGCCACTCTCAGCTGCATGATTGGCATGGCTCGCAGTCTTCTCAGCGGCGGCCGACATTATCCTGAAGGCCCTGCGCACGTCCTGCCTCTGCTTATGAGAGCACTGCCTGGAGTCGACCCTAATGACTTCAGCAAATGCATGGTGGGTTAAACTGTGAATTACACACATAAAGAGCTAATAAATATAGAGAAATAAGAAATAAATCAAATTATGACAACTTAGAAATTATTTTCTTCTAATTTAATACTCTGTTTGACCGCTATTTTTTATTTTTATTGATTTTAGATCACGTTCCAGTTCATTGCTACTTTCACTACTTTAGTGCCTTTAGTGGACTGTTCATCAGCCCTCCACGACAAGAATGACTTGACAGAGGTAAAAACCTGAAATGATATGTTGATGTATATGTTAATGTGTGTACATATGTACAGTTGAAGTCAGAATTATTAGCTCCCCTGTATATTTTTTCCTCAATTTCTGTTTATTGCAAAGATTTTTTCAACACATTTCTAAACACAATCGATTTAACAACTCATTTCTAATAGCTGATCTCTTTTATCCTTGCCATGATGACAGTAATATTTTACTATATATTTTTTAAAATCCTAGAATTAGTATTCGTCATGGAATTTCTATTCTTGCAAACAGCATTTTAAGTTTTGCAGCAACCCACACACCATATACAATCCTATCTAGCCCCAACAAAACAATCCACAAATATAACAAGCATTATCTGGAAAAAAAAAAAAAAGAAATAAAATAAATAAAAATTAAAGTGCGATTTTAATGCTTAACTAAATTTATTAGGCTTATTAAGCTAATTAAGACTAAATTAAGTTAGGGCAATTAGGCAAATCATTGTATAGTGGTTTGTTCTGTAGACAACTGAAAAAAAATGCTTAAGGATTATATTATTATGCAATTAGTATTGACCTTTAAATGGTCTTAAAAAAATTAAAAACTCCTTTTATTCTAGCTGAAATAAAACAAATAGACTCTTTTCACTTTTCTGCGTTTGTCAGTAGTGGAAGGCATCATAGCTGGGTAAACTTAGAGCGCAGTGAATGGGAGAATACAATGAATAATTTTTTACAACAATATTTGAGGAAATAATAGAAGCAAAACTCTGCGATGGTGTTATCAAGACTTTCAGGAAAAAATTGTGTGAGACTGATAACGACAGCCAGAGGAGAGAATAACATCAAATTTACTGTCCTGTCCCCTAGACACTGCATTAAAAACAGCATAACCAGTCATTTTTTCGTGATTTGATGCAAAGATGATATAATACATCCATAAATGTTCATACTAAAAAAAAAATCTAAATATTAAAAACTTTTAAGGATTTAAGATTATGATGACCGTTAAACGCGTTAAACGTCTTGTGAAAAGGGTCAATAAGACTTTTTTCAGAGGAAAAAAATATTGTAGGACGTACTGTGAACAACTCCTGCTCTGTTAAACATATTTTGGGAAATATTTCACAGTATTGGCAATTTGTATTTGGCCAGCACACACAGGGCTCAACAATAAGGACTGACTGCTGGCCCGGGGCCAGCGTGCAAGACCTTCCGGACAGTATACAGAATGGTTACTGGTCCTATAGGGGCCAGTGCTGCCTTGTCACTAAAGTTAATTTGGCTGCGACTGTTTGTCAATTGCGTGCTTTTATCCCCAGACGTTTGTTTTGGAACCTTTCTCGTTTGCCCATCAAGAGCGGTTCGTGGCATATGTGAATTCTGCAATCGTGCTCGAGTCCGCACCAAATCAATCGGTCTGAGATCGCCAGAATGAGGTGGTCTTGGCTCGATTGAGCGGATCAATTGTAGTGAAACAAAACAATTTACTGAACCAGGCTATATCACAGTGTATTATGGTTGCGTAATAGCCATATATACAGCTATATGAAGAGGGAATGATGAGTAGGGCAGGGTGTCATTTTTACCGGCAAATGTGCATTTCAGTCTAATATAAAAGTGAAAAAATGCTGTTTATCCGTTGACCGAAAAAAAAAAAACTTACCGAAATTACCATTTGATAATTATTCCATATTTTAATCTTATATTTTGTATTAGACCATTTGTTTTGCTCATTTGTTTTCTTCATTTCGACACCTCGAAAGAAAGATCAACATTGCTTCATGATCTGACTGCAGTTCCCCTGCATGATCCCCTGCATTCTTAGTCTTCATCTTAAAAAAAACTCAAAGGCCATAATTGATTAAAACGTAGGCTAATATGATTATTACCTTCATGGATCAAGCAAAAACAAGAAGTGAAATGCATTTTAAATCTAGGTTTACAAATAAATGAAAAATAAAAATATTGACAGTATTATAGACTGATGTAATGAGCCGGTTTCTAAAATTAGGCATTTTGGTGGGTTCGCTTTAATTAATCTAATCAGTATTGTATTTGAATTAAATCATTTTTAAATTGTCAGTTGTATTTAAAGAAAAGTTATGCTGAATAAGTAAATGGCTAACTTCTTTTTTTGGTGGGGCAAGAGAAAATTTTGGCAGGGCAAGTATAAAAAATCCCTAGCGCTGAACCCTGACACATCATAATAATTTCTAAAAATTCCAGTGTTAATAAATTCCATTTGTAATTTGGTTTCTCTAAATTAAACAAAACACTTGCATTATAAACACATTTTTAGTTTCTCTTATTTTGCTACAAATTTAAAAAATGTAACGTAATTAATTTGTAAAATGTAAGTATTCAGAATAAAATAAGGACTAAAAAATAGGAGTGGTCTTCAATGTAAACAACATTTATTATAAACGTTAGACCTCAACAAATGTATTTAAAGCCAAGCAAACATGGGTGATGGTCTAAAAAAAACTCATGTGTCTCTCTAATTTGGCACCAATACAAATGTGTGTGCAGGATGTTCAATATACACGTCATTCATTTGGAAATGAAGCCACTCTGTGGGTCAGATGATAAAAAAGGCAGCTTATTCTGTATTTGTTTATAAACTTTTTTTTCTTCTTGTAGATGGAGAGAGAGTTGTGTTCAGCTTCTGCAGAGTTTGAAGACTTTGTTTTGCAGTTTATGGACAGGTGAGTCATTTTGTGTGTGGTGTGTGTGTGTGTGGTGTGTGTGGTGTGTGTGGTGTGTGTGGTGTGTGTGTGTGTGTGTGTGTGTTTGTGTGTGTTTTTTTAAAAAAAGTATAAGCTTTATTTTTGTGGCTTATGCCCTGTTTTGTATGCCTGTAGGTGTTTTGCATTGATTGACAGCAGTACACTGGAGCAGACGCGCGAAGAGACAGAGACAGAGAAAATGACTCATTTAGAAAGTCTGGTAGAGCTGGGCCTTTCTTCTACCTTCAGCACCATTCTGACACAGTGCTCCATGGAGATATTCAAGGTTTTAATAGCATTTTAATGCTTTGTTTAGTTGAAATACTGCTAGTTCTTGTAACCTAATAATTGGGCTCGTTTTCTTTCCTCATACATTTTGAAATGCAATCATAAATGTTTTTTTTTTTGCCCATCAAATTTGACAGCGTGTTGCACAGAATGATAGTATTTGTGTGTAGTCACCATGTTTCAAGTTGTTTTGACTTTCAGTAGATAATTTTGCTGCACTCTCTATAAAAGGGATAGTTCTCTCAAAAATGAACATTCTCTCATAATTTAATCATTCTTGGCTTTTTCCAAAACAGTTTGAGTTGTTTTGATCTGTTGAACAAAAAAAAGCTATTCTGAAGAATGTTGGAAATTGGTAGTT